GACCAAAACATACTAAGCTGCAGAAGCTTTTTAATGCTTTATGAAGATTTTTGTACAGAGTCAAATCTCTCTTTGATCATTACTGATTCAGATCGGCTAAAATATATATAAAGCCTTAAAGAAATTCTCCTGCAGCCAATATAAAAACCAAAGGCCATAAAGCAAAAACATAGCACGCGAATAAAGCTTTTGAAAGCTTTCTAAAGATTTAATATGACCTCGTCGTGAGCCAAATCTATATCTGGCCATCGCTAATCTAAACTATTAGCTGAGAGCTCAATTTGTGAAAACTATTTGCCTAAATCGAAACCTAAATGAATATTCTTAAGTGGATTTTCTAGTTCATTGCGCAATCTTTATGAGAAAAAAGATACAATCAACCATCCAACTTGAATAATCAAAGCGACATTTATTTACATAAAAAGCTTTATATGTACATAGATACTTGAATTAATTAATGGCGTGTTTCTATAAATATAAAAATAAGCGCTCTCTTAAATGCAGCCTAAACATTTTTTTATTTCTTTAATTTGTTTTTATTAAAAACTAGTGGCCTTATTAATAAAAAATAAACAAGATTTCAAGAGCTCTATGAAGTGACATTTGTATACAAATTTTCGAATTACATAGAAGAATTTGAGTGTAAAACTAGGTACATCAACACATTTGTAAAAATAAATATGTACGAGCAGTACTCCTACTTTTTCTGGATTGCTTTACAAACCCAATTGTGAAAGACAAGGATATCATTTTTTATGGCTAAAAAGTTTATTCATAAGTAAAGAAAATAGTTGTTGTTATAAAATGCGTTAGTTACTATGTAGATAATTTTGAAATATTTCTAACTACACAACTCCTTTTCTTCCGCGAGCTTGGTGGCTTGGTTTAAAGCGGCGATGGGCCCTGCCTTGCCTGCGGGCAAAGCTCTTTTAAGCTTACTATACATTTTGTTTAGACGCGTGCCGAGTAAAAGCTCGCTCTGTCCATTGCTGGTTTAAAGCGGTGATGGGCAGAGAGAGCTTTTATTCTGCATGCGGCTATACAAAATGTATATAAAGCTCAAAAAGTTTTGCCCGCGGGCAAAGCGGTGCCCACAACCGGTTTAAAGCTCCTCATTTTGTCAAGTAAGCAGAAAGAGCCTCTAAGTAGAACTACACATCGAGTAGGAGTCATGGCTTTCTGCGCTCGTGCCGCGATATAAAACGTTTAGCTGAACAAAGTGTGGAAGGCTTGAAAGGCGGTGGGCGGCTGAAAAGTATTTTGCGGAGTTCCGTTCTTATTGGATACTCTGTGCTGCCGATCAGAAAAACAAAACCAAAGCTTGTCTTCCCTTTGCTACTCCTTAGATAAACACTGCACAGTCAAGCTTTACAGCATATGAATGCTCTATAGCGTAGTATCTTATTCAAAATTACTGCAGAAGGCAATGCATAACATTTCCGTCATCGTGCTCGTAGTAACGGACAGCTGTTACCAGCGACCTGAAAATAAATTAAGAAAACGGGGCAACGATGTAGAAAACCAAAGTTTTAGACTTTTGTAATGACATCCGATGTTTCGATTGTATAACATTTTATCGTCAGCTGGCGCTTTCAAACGCTAACCTGTGTAGAAGGATGCATGTAACTAGAATGTAATTAAGTTGAAAATAGCGAAGCTTAGTAAAGTTGCTGCTTATTAATTCTAAAGTGTAGTTGGTTGTCTTTGATCCGCGCCTACTTCGTTTGTTGCTGCAAGAGGATGGGTGTACTTGAGCGCAATGCCTTTCCAGATACTTATTTTGAATTCTTCATAGGTTTCTTCTTGCTGCATCCTTAAGATCTTCAAAATGTTTCGTACATACACATTTCCATAAAAGACATTGCATAAAAGACTTGCGCAGCTGCTTTGGTTCCACGGCCTGAAAGCTGCATTCACTAACTCTTCGATCCTTCCTTCACATTTCATAAAAATTATAAAACGCTAGTGATATTGATTTTTTTCAAATATATTATTCATATATTTTATTGGCTAACTTTTTCCAACTTCCATTCATTCGACCATCTTGCTGTCAACTTTTGTTTCATTATTTTTTAATTTTTCTGCTTAACTTATTTGTTATTATTTACTTTTACCATTCATTGTATTATTTTTTTTTATTTTTTACTATAATTTTTTCATCGTTGTTAATTTAACATTACACGTTCTTCTTCATATACATATTTATAAGTATATAATTGTTATAATTTTTTTTTTTTATATTTATACGCAATTGTTAGCAATTATTGTTTTACTGTTCTTGTTCTCATTTGTTAATATTTATTATTGAGTTAGTATACATACAAATAATTAAAAATATTACATTAAAATGTACTCGTATATCATGTAAATTGTTTTTTTTTTTCTTTTTTTGTGCTTTTTTTGTGATTCATTTATTTTCTTATTTTTATTCATCTCCTTTTAAAAAAAAATATTTATTGGTATTTTGATTGCGTTTTAATACAATTTTGCTAATAACTACATAATTTCGAAACAAAAAACAAGGCTAACAAAAAGGAAGGAAGTACATGCCTAGGATTTGTTGTACGCGTAATAAGAATAACGACACAAAGCACAAATAAACAAAAACGAAAACGATTTTGTTTCGATGTGAGTAAGTCAAATAAAAACAAAAAACAAATTGCTAAATAATAATTGTTTTGAAAAATTAATTTAAAGCACTATTTTTGTATGTGTGTAAAGAAAAAACTCAGTGTAATTTTTTAATTTTTTTGGGAAAATTTTTTATTAGACAATTAATTATGTAAGCTTTAATAGTGTATGTATGTATGTATGTATAGATATCACCTAAAGCAAATTACGTATTTCAGTTGCGATATCAACTTGTTGCTCCGCATCCATCTTCATTTTCTGCAACTGCTTACTTCTCTCTAAAATTTATACATTGCAAATTTCTTAATTAACAGAACATTTAACAAATATAGAACAGAAAAGCAGTAATATTTATATATGTTTTCAATTTTTCATAATGAAAATAATACAATAATTACGTATTTTTTATTGACTTAAAAAACAATTATTTTTTTTTTAACAGCAAAGCTTTTGAAAAATAGTTAGTTTACTTCTCGATTTAATCTTTTCTAATTAACAAGTACATACATATATTTTGCCGCGATTCAATAGAAACAAAATAAAATAGGAAGCTTTCTGCATTGGCCCATAACACAATTTTAAAATTATACGTCACTATTTCTTAATGCTGCTATTAATTTTTAATTTAAATTTTTTTTACTTATTTTACAAGTAGCACAAGTGTATATTATTTGTACAACAACAAATTTTGAGCACACTTGTGCCATATTATTATTATTTTGTATTTATTATTTTTTTTTTATTTTTTATGTATTTGTATGACAAAAAAGTACAACAACTATTTTCTTTACTAGCAACTTTTTAGTTTTCATGCCTTTCACTCCTAGTAATTTATTATTTATTTATAACTATTTTTTATTTTCTTTACTTACGCATAAGTTAAAGAAAAACGTATACAAGTTTTTTTTTACTTAAAAAAATTTTGTTACATTTCAAAAGTTTTGAAATTTCTTTTACATATGTATGTAGATGACTTTCCAGTAATTCAATTAGTTTTAAACCTTTTCTATTGTAGAAAATCTTGTTTTTTTCATGCCCATATAGCTTTACAATTGAAGCAAAAAATATTAAATTTAAATACTTTATAATAAGAAAAAGTATGCTAAATTTATAGTTAGTACATACAGATAGTTCATTGTCCTTTCGGTTTTCTCGTTCCCGAGTTTATAGTTTACCCTATAGGATTTTAAGTACGTATTTGGAAGCGAAAGAACAAGTTATTAGGTAGGCAAATATTTTGTTAGAGACTTTGTGAGGAAAAAAGAAAGGCCTGAGTTAGAAGAAAATAGCAAGTTCCGGTGACTAAAATAAATACTACGGGTACAGCTTTTTAAAGCTTTCTGGATATTCATAGTTCACAGCGAACTTTTTGCTAGCAAAAATTTTCAGAAAGCTAAGAAAAGTTCTGAACGCGTGCAAGGCATTATCTATCACTGATGTAAACCAAAGCATTTCTCAAGCGTCAAGCTATTTGAAGCTTTTTTTGAACGTCACTCATCTGAATCAAAATTTTCTACAAATCGTATTTGAATGCGCAAAGATAAAAAGTTCCGATTTTTTAACTGACCCAAGCCAACGATGATTAGATAATGCTTTCATTTTTAGCGTGTCCATACACAAAATTATAGAAAGCTTTAAAAAGCTTATAGAATATAAAAAAGCTTCGGTACTTCCCCATTTTGGAGAATATTCTTTTCAATTTTAAATGATTCTAAAGTAATCTGGTTTCAGTGTTTTATTCTATTATAAACGTATCAACAGGCAGATTTTTTAACGTTGTTTGATGGCAACAAAAAATGTATACTGTATGCAAATTGCCTTAAAAGCTTTGAAAAAAGCCCTCTTTTCAGAAAGCTTTCGCAAGCTATCCAAAGTTTCTTTCAAATAAAAACTAAGCTCACCTGTAAGTTTCGTACAAAAACTGATTTTAAAAAGCTCTGAAAATTTAATTAAAAAGCTTAATTAATCAAAAGCTTTACACAAAAAAAAAGCTTCAATATTCACATAATTCGTTTCGAGGCGTCAACCTAACTTGCTCGCTGCCTTTCTTCTTCCACCACAACGCCTTTATTTTGGTAGTTAAGTTCAAAGTTCGCTTAATTAGTTCTTCTATTTATGTTAAAAATGTATGTACGTAAATACTTGTATGAAATCACGTTGTACACGCATATATATGTACATACTAAGTAGTAGGTATGGCTCCAGCATACTGTGCGACGGCGTCGGAACACGCTTAGCATATGTAGGAATAGTATTTAATAGATAGTATACGTTTGTTGTATGTTTGTTTGTTTGTTTGTTTGTTTGTGTGTTAAATTGTATTTATGAATTAAATATTTAATGTTAGTAAGCTTTCGTATATATGTATGTATATTTCCTCTCCTCACTGCTTTTATACTCGTATTAAAAATTCAACGTTCTAAGGTAAGTAATAGGTAAATTTAATAAAAAATAAAAATTTTTCGTATACTTTCATTTGAACTTAGGTTTTTCCTTTTTACTCACACTAACTTTTCTCTTCTTTTTGTTTTTATCTATAAACTAACATTTACACTTCAACATCTTTGTTAGTTTTTTTGTTTTTTGTTTAGTAAATTACGTATATATGGTTGCATTTTTTGAACAGCACTGTCGGTTGTAAAGAAAGTAAATTTTTTTTTTAATTGGTTAGTAGTGAGGGAAAATATGGTGCATGACATTTTGCCAAGTTTCAGAATGAAATAAACACGCAGAAAGTTGGGAAAATATTTAACGAAAAATTGTGATGAACGTAGCAAGTGTAAAGAACTTTGTTTAAAGCAAAAAAAAAAAACAAAAATATTTAAAAATGCATTACGGCTCAAGAGGCCAATTTAACAGCTTTTAACTAAATATGTATGTGTGTGTGTGTGTGTTAGTGCGTTTGTATGGGTGTTAATTAAGGACGTGCATGTTATAGGTATGCATGAAATCGTATAACTGTTTGGTTTTTTTCCACCACTCCTTAATAAAAATCGTATACTTTGTGTGTATTTGTGTGTTTTGTTTTTAATTAAATTTACTTTTTAATTACGTATTCAAATTTTTTATTACTTTTTTCAAAGGAATATTTTTCAAAATTAAATCCACACTAACATTTTGACCGCTTCTATCCCTCTGTTATCATTAATTTAGTTTGTAAATAGACATACTTATATGCTTGTATTATTTTACGCCTTATAGATTATTTGATTTAAAATTTAATTTTTTTAATTACAGCTGCTATTTTACAAAATATTTCCTCCTGCCTTCAACTAGTTGTAAACGACTAATCGTTATCAAGCTATGAAAAAAAATTTAAACAAAAAAAGTAATGAAACAAAAACTTCCACTCAGTGCACTTTTTACGTATATCTGTTTGCATTTAGTCTAAACGCTAACCTAATTATGCCCGCCTGCTATTGACTATACACTAGAACTTGGCTCACAATATACACTAGACTTTCTCTTTATTTTATATATATATATATTTATTTTTTTAATTTACGTATATGGATTTTCTTTCAGTTAATTAGTTACTTATATTCTCAGTCAATACAAATTATTACGTATATCCGTTGCGTATTGCAGTTTTTGTAGTATTTATGTATGTAGAAATCGTATTAGTAGTATTTGAAGTACAAAAAAAAAGTGGTTTTCTATAGAAATAGTAATAATGCTCCGCCCACCGTTTGAGGCAATTTCGTAAACGAATTTCGGATAATCAGCTAGTTGTGTCTTGGAATAGCCCGAGTGCTCTGTAATAACTAGCGTACCGAATTCAAAGCGGCTGCTAAAAGCGCTTGTCACCATAGCAGTATGCGCGCTCAAAGCAATTTTTGGGCAATCACGATCCCTCAAATTACGAGTTTTCGATTTGAGAAATTCATACGCAATGCCAAAAATGTAGATGGTTATGTGAGAACAGCTGACCAGTGCGCGGAAAACAGCTGTTCGCGAAGAGAAAACAGCTGACCATTGCTGCAACCAGCTGTTGCTACCTCAATACTAATTTTTTGTTAGTTCAAAAATTGCTGTTTAAGAAAAATCTATTTCCATTTTTCGCCCACTAGAACCTCACTAAAAATCCGCTTCATTTTTTATGTGATAGCTGGCATACGTCTGCTCCAGTGGCGTAAAAGGCTGTTTCAGTTGTTGTTGGTTGGCTGCATCCTGCGCAGGGCGTTTGAAGATAGAATATTTTAAAGTTTTTTTTTAGGGAAAAACAAAAAAACAATAGGAAAGTAACAAGTAAAGAAACACTACCGTCAAACTTTAAGCTTTTGATCATTAAAAGAAAGTAATAGTTTAAAAGGCTTAACTGCGCCAAAACAAGTACTTACTTTTTCAACGCACGCGCTTCTTTTAAATACTAATAATATAAAAAATTTGGTAAAATTCAAAATGAGCCGGTTGCGGTATTCACAGCGCGCAAGCGTGAATAGTAGCAAACAATTTCTTAAAAGCGCTACGTTCTTTACTTTTGGTATGCCAGCATTGGCCACCATAAAAAAAATGGTGAAATCAAAAAATTAGACGGTGTGCTATTCACAGCGCGCAAATGTGAATAATTTCTAAAAGAAAAAAAATCCTTAAAAGCACACGTTCGTTTTCGGCATGCCAGCATAGGCCGGCACCATACATTTGGGGTCATGTAAAAAAGCGCAAAATTAAAGCTTTCAACTACACTGTGAATACCAGCTTTACTTGTATAAATTCCTACTGTGGTTGCTAAAAAGGGCGGTAGGTTGGCGGTAAGTAGTTTAAAATTTAAATTATTTTGTTTTACTCTTTAGTATAAGTTAAAATAAAATTTATTATACGTAGCTATGTAAATATATAAGTTGATTGGTATATATATGTATATATATATATAGGATTTCGTATATTAATATATTCATAGAGAGTAGTATATATATATGTATATATATTACTTTATACATATGTATATATATAAATATTTATATATATATATTGGCGAGCTATATGGGCCTCTTGCAAAAACGAAGTACTTTTTCTCACATTTCCGTGCTCTTCAATGCGCTTCAATCATTCAATTTTCATTGCATTTGTTTCATTTCAAAACTTTTGACTCAAAACCCCTGGCATTGGTTTAACATTTTGCATTTTCTTTTTTAGTTGTGGTACTTTTGTGTTAAAAATTTCTTCTTCATCTTTCTCTTGCACTTATTTCTTTTAGGCTTTTTTTTGTAGTTGGAAAACTTTTTACAAATGTAATTAGCAGGTTGTTTTTTTTTTGTTTAATTTTAATACATTTTTACAATAGTTTTCGCAAAAAACAATGAACAAAAACAATTTTATTTATTATTATGTTTATTGTGTTGCAAAATTTTCTTATGTGGTATTTACACAATCGCTTTTTTTGTATTCACCGCTACCAGCACAGTGCATGCACACACACACACACGCTGTAGCATTGCTGCTTGCAACAAGCTTAAATGAAGCTGCTATCACTTACACATGTTGCTAGCCACAATGTTGCAACGCTGTATGTTGTGCTGCTCTGGCTGTCAACAAACAAATTCACTGTCCTTTGCTTTTGTTTGTTTTTATTAGTTTTAAATTGAGATTATCTATTTTTGTTTGCTTGTCTATTTGGCAATTGTTGTTGTTGCTTTTTTTGTTAACGTTTTATGTGTTGTTGATTTATGTATGTTGTTGGTCTGGCGATGTTGCACCCACGTATAGTGACAATGAAAAATGGCAGTGACAGTGATGGTGCGGCTCGGCGCGGCGCGGCGCGGCGCAGCTGCGGCGGCAACAGCGGCAACTGTTTTAATTTCAATTCGGAACTGGCAATTCTGAAATTTGCACATATTTTTTTATGTTTTAATTTATTCGCTTAGCATAGCTGCTGCATATTCTTATTGTTATTGTATTATTTGTATGCTGATTTATGTGACAGAAAAATTTCGCTGGCAATGCCGCGATTTTCTCATTAAACTTTTTTCAAAATAGAATTCGAAACAGCTTATTATTTGCGTTTGGCTGCTGGGACATTTATCCACCAGTGGAAGAATGTTGCTGCGGCTCTGTTGCTCGCTTGCTGTTGTTGCAGTTGCTGTTGCCGTTGCTGTTGCAGTGGCGCTTGGCGGCTAGTTTGTGCATGCGTGCTTTTGTTCGTTCGTTTTCTATTTTCAGCTTTTCATGCTTCCGAGCTTGTCAACAATTTTTTTTTTTTTGTTTTGGCTACCCATTTCCATTTTTCTTTGTTGCTATACGTGTGCGTAACGCCTTTTGAATTTGTTTGTTGTTGTGGTTGTTGCGGTGTGGATGGTTAATTATTAGTTTACAAATTTGTTTGTGGCCATGTTTTTCCTCCCAACATTTGACTTTCTTAAAAATTTTTCTTAAGCATTTTCGAAGTTTTGCAATTTTTTTTTGGCATTATTCGTTTTCATTTAAATTTAGTACGGATATTGGTTTAAGTTTTGTTTTTTTTTCATTACTTTACTTTAATAGTTATTATTATCATTTGTATTCTTTATTTAATTTAATTTAATCCCAGGGCATTGTGAGCACCCGCTTCGTTTTTGCAAGAAGGTCGTTATCGTACTACGAACATGGGTGCACCACCGCATTGTAGCTCGCCAATATAGGACCATGTGCTCCCGCGAAGGGGGTACTCACAACGTCTGGTGTACTAGCTCCATCGGTGTGCGATGTCGAATCGGCATTACTTCTTCCTTCACCATTAGCTGAACCTATTTCTGGTGGTTTGGTGGTGTCCCGTTCGTCAATCACTAAATCTATTGGCATTTTACCCTTTAAACATGAGATATATCGATGACAGAAATTATCGCACAATTCATGCACCTGTAATTGTAACAACAGAGAGAACACAAAGGAAGAGAGAGAAAGAGAGAGAGAGAGCGGGAGAGAGTGAGAAGAAAAGAAAAGAAAGAGAAAAGACAAAATTCATGAGTCACGATTGCAAAGTTCATTACAAGTTTCACATATTTTATAAAACTATTAAATATAAATTTAAAAATATTTTNAGCGGGAGAGAGAGAGAGAAGAAAAGAAAAGAAAGAGAAAAGACAAAATTCATGAGTCACGATTGCAAAGTTCATTACAAGTTTCACATATTTTATAAAACTATTAAATATAAATTTAAAAATATTTTTTTTAATGTGCATTCTAGATTTTTACTAATGCATAATTAAGCGTGAGTGGCTTTTCAAGAAAGGTATTCTGTTTTTAGTTGGTCAATATAAGTAGATATTTTAAAGGAATTAAGACATTATTTGTGGCATAAGAACATGAATTTCTATTTTACACACCTAATATTCAAGAGCGCTGATTAAGTGCATGCATTGTCTTGAAAAATTTCGCAAGTCCAAAAATTTGTACAATCTCTTTAATTAGGGTAATTTTTCTTGGGTAAAATGGGGTTTTTTTTTGTTTTCTTTGCTCTATGGGACAACTACTTGGGAAGCTATTACATTCAATTNTCGCTGATTAAGTGCATGCATTGTCTTGAAAAATTTCGCAAGTCCAAAAATTTGGACAATCTCTTTAATTAGGGTAATTTTTCTGGGGTAAAATGGGGTTTTTTTTTTTGGTTTTCTTTGCTCTATGGGACAACTACTTGGGAAGCTATTACATTCAATTAACTTTTATAAATTCTTAATAAATATAATGGTTTAATTATTTTTTTGCATAAGGTGTGATTTATGAAGGCGAAAGAATATGACAAATAAAATTTAATTAACAGTCAATTATGAATGTAAATCGATCTATTACGATAATTTCTGAAGAAAAACAAACGACTGCCAGCTATTAAAATGTTATAACGCACATGTGTAGTACTTGTGTATATTGATTTGTATCAACTAAGCCATGTTTTAATGTGTAAATAAGAGTTATTAATTTAATAATTATTTTTCAAAAGGAAATGGAATCTGTAGCGGCTATTTATTTCAACTGTCACAGTTGGAATCAGTTCTATGAGTTAGATTGTAAGTAGTTACATACACATTACACAGCATTTATAATTATTTCAATTGTTAAAAACTTTTTAAATGGCTATGGCTTTATGCAATTGTGTTTTGTTATGTTGTGTGATGTTATGTCATCAATGGTATATCGTCTAACATATGACGTCATTATTTATGTAGCAGCATTTTTGTATATGCACGACATAACGACATAAGTCAAAAGTATGGTATACCATTCTTGGGAACAAAATTTATGTTAAGCCATACCAATATACATATGTATGTATATCTATTCACAAAAATCAGCTACTATGACTTATGGTCTTCAAATTGCCACCTTTATTGATAATAAATTCGAATCAGAGAACTGCAACAAGCCTTTTGCACAAATTTCAAGCTACTTAAAGCTTTATTTGATTTTAAAACAAAATAATTGACTATAACAAGTACTTTTTTTTAAACATATTTTACTTTCGCTTTTACGTGTTCTGAATGTTGTTTCACTTTTAGACTATACTTCTGAAAGGTGGGGGAAGTTATCTTTCTTTTTTTATGAGTTCGAGCATTTTTTATATGATGATGTAATTTTTTGTGATATTCTGCTTGCTTTGTAATGTATCATTAATTTTGCTATTATACGCGGTATGCTTGAAAGTGGAATAGAACTAGAAAGAAAGCTGCGGACTCAACGTAAATTCCCTGAAGACTGAACTATGTAATTCTAAAAATTCTTAAAGGGGCATAATTTTTTGCCTTTTCTCCAGCGCTAAATACTAATTGGAAGTCGCTAACTTCGAGTGATCTCCGACTNATTTTTTGTGATATTCTGCTTGCTTTGTAATGTATCATTAATTTTGCTATTATACGCGGTATGCTTGAAAGTGGAATAGAACTAGAAAGAAAGCTGCGGACTCAACGTAAATTCCCTGAAGACTGAACTATGTAATTCTAAAAATTCTTAAAGGGGCATAATTTTTTGCCTTTTCTCCAGCGCTAAATACTAATTGGAAGTCGCTAACTTCGAGTGATCTCCGACTTGAAACGTATTCGACTGCCAGATTCGGATAGTGTTTCTCAGGCGGAAATCTTTGTTATGAGAAAGCCTTGTAAAGCGTGGAAAGTAAGTTAACACTTTAGCAGATAGACATATCCTTGCACTAATTTAGGCGCCGGCGCAAAGATTGCATTCTTGACAAAGAAATGATCAACGACCTAGCCAGAAACGAGTCGGCTCCAGATATATCAGCGGCAGAATATGTTCTTGTGTGCCTAAACTACATACATATATATACATATCAAGCGCTGCCAAAATATGGCTAACCGCTAGTGGAAGGAGCTACAGGATCCCTAGGAGCATGTAGGCCACCTACGGAGCAAACCACACTTCAGTTAATATTATACCCGAAAGGAAGGAACTGCCACTTTCACAGAATACTGCGGCTTGGGTATTTCGTGTTCTAGTTGTAGCTTATCAGATGCCGAGGAAAGTGTAAATAATAACCTGTGCAATTGCCTACCACTGCGTAGGACTAGATGAGGTTTCTAGAGAAATAAATCTTATATTCCAACTAGTACTTCTAAGCCATTTAAACTCGTTGGGTCTGATTTCTTGTTGTCTCTTTTCAATTTAACTGACGAATGGTTTAAAACGACACATATTAGAAATACATCTGTGGCCACGCAAACCCTGACACCTCGTTTTTACAAAATTTGGTAGAGTTTTGTAAATTAATAAAAAAAAATATAAAAATAAAAATTTTAAACTTCGTAGTAAATTTACGAAATTTTATTAAAATTTCATTAGAATTTCAAACTTTTTAATAAAGATATATTTATGAAAATTTCTGGTATCCAGCTCATTTAATTTCAGTATAATAATGTGGAAGCTTGAAGCGGCTTAAAATTCTTGGAAATTTTTTTTGCAGACGGTGTGTGTTTCCATAGAAACGTCTTTTTATATGGAAAGATATGAAACATCGTATGGAAACAAAATTTCAAAAATCAACCAAAATGAGTATACATATATCTAATTAATTCTTTCTTTATTGGCGCTCTAACCGCCTAAGCGATTAATTGCATACCCAAAATTTTCCTAAAAATGTTGATGAATCTTTCTAAGTTTTGTACAAAGTTTGAAACTCTTATTTATATAGTTGAACTATATTAACAAAAATAATTTTTTTTTTATTAATTTATAGGATCTACCAAATTAAAAACAAAAACTGTGGTAAAGTTTGCGGGGCTACGAGTGTAATTAGAGTTTTTACACTTGCCACATCGGCCAATCAACGGATCATGGACGACTTAGTTGTGATTAATCTGTTAGTTTGCTATTCTTGTTGTAAATCGTACTTGAACTTATATTTTTTATGCGCAGTGGCTTGGAAATGTAAATGATCCGCTTTGTGTAGTTCTCCCATACACTGTCGCTGGACTTGTTTGTTTAAAAGTATGTAGCTTGAAATCGCATTTAAATCGGCTAATGCAGTTCTCTGATGCATATATGTAATTATTATTATGCTGTTGATGATGATGAGAGTTTATGGTATACTATACTTACAAATGTCAACGTAATTTTTATTATTCCAAGTCAATTTATTTATTTTTTTAGGAAATTAGAATTTGTGATTATAGCAGGCCATTTACTCATGGCATACCATTTACAATTATTTTTAATTATCATATAGCCTTTCTAAATCACGCTTATGCAAATAAATATGTTTTTAAGTATATATCTACTCTTAAATATTTCTTATAAACTATGAAAGAAGAATGCAATTTGAATCTGAAAATATATTTGTATGTAAATATATGTTTAACTGACATTTAATGCTACTAAAAACTTTCAACAAGTATTTGAATAAGAACAATTTCGTACTGAAAAAAAAAATTGAACACTTTATCTTAGGAGCATTTAAATTTTCTTAATTGCCCATCAACATTTGCATCATTCATTCGCCCATTCAATCATCATAAAATATTCACTCGTTGCAGGCAGTATTTTTCGCGCAATTAATTGCCATCCAGACAATGCGTTGGCAATAATACTCGCACTTGCAATTACAGTCTCGATGTGGCATGCCACATATGTACATACATGCATACATATGCATATGTACTATGTTGATACGTAGCAACAACGCTCATCAAACACTTGCAGCTTGAATTCAACTGTCAACCTCAACACTGACAGATTAATCAAAAAATTATTATGTTTATGATTATTGCTATTGTTATTGTTATTGTAAGTGTTATTGTTGCAGCCACTGCTGTAGTAATTATCAGCGCATCAGACGACCGACCGGCCGGCCGGACGACCACCTCCGCCATCCGCTGAACGCGCCGCAGATCACACCATAAACATATCAATTGTGAATTTATGTGCAAGCGCGTGCGCAACCAAAGACAACCATGCAACCATGCATATGTACATATGTATGTATGTATGTAGTATAGAATGAAAATATTTCACATAAAATGCCTGCCGGAATTGCAATAATTATTTGTGACTTGGCTGGTTTGGTCCGCCAACTGGTATTGTTATCATCAGCATTTCTGTATGAGTGCAATTGTTGTTGTTGTTTAATTATTATTACGATTATTGTTATGCTTATGTGAGTGCTTATGATGGCATTGCAACAATAGCAACAACAACAACAACAACAAGCTTTATGGCACTGAAGTTGCAAGCAGCTCAGCGCACGAAATTGATTTGTACGCGCATGTTATCTGTCACACCAGCAGTGCAGCCGCAAAACGGTCGAAAGAACAACAACAACAACACAACATACACGCTCTTGCCACTTGCTGTCAGTTACCTACTACAAAAAAGCGTTAACGTACGCGCTAAAGAATGTTTGCGGCGCATTCTTGTAG